TTTTTTTTCATTTTTATCTTTATAGTTCTAACACCTGAATTTCATATAATAGGTACTGGATAAATTTTTGACAAATTAAATGAAATAATCAAGGGACAATGGAAGAAAAATAAATATATATATAGCATTTATGTGCCAGGCACTATACTGATTGCTTTGCAACTATTATTCATTTGATCCTCACAACAACCCCAGGAACTGAGTGCAATTATTACCCCTATTTTACAGTTCAAGAAATTGAGGTAGATAGAGGTTAAGTGAACTGTCCAGGATAAATGGCTAATAAATGTCCAAGGCCTGATGTGAACTCAAGTTTTCCTGACTCCAGGCCTAGCACTATTCAGTGTGCCACCAATTTCCTATAGTAATGACTCAAGTCATTACTATCACTACCTCAAATGCCTACATTGTGGGGGGAGGGGGAAGGAAGAAGAAATTATCAGGGAAAAAAAACCATTCCATTCTATATGATTTCTTAGGCTCTAATCACATTATTAACACAAGCAATTGAAAAATAATTCATCCAGTAAATTATTTAGCCTATACCATGTCCAACTAATGATAATTTTTCATTGAATTAGTTATTCTATACCATGTAAAAACTACTTGTGTAATTTATCCCTTTAACACCCAGTTTAAACAGACTACAACAGAAGACACAAATCAATGTTCTGTTACATTTATCAAGGCTGATAGCGCTTCTAGCTATTGTTTATGACTCACTTAATTTTCATAAGGGTCAAATTTATTGTATATTAGATGCTTTGTTTTTATGAATACATATTCAACATTTATTAAGCATCCAAAGATGCAATGGAATAGCGTATGGTGGTAATAAGAACAGATTACAAATGAAGACTTGTGTATGGTACAAAGCACTGATGTCAAAATCGTAGAGAAAGCATCCCTGCTGTTGCATTTTGACTTAGATAACCACAAATTGACATTATCTACCTCGTATTGTACTTTTAATTATTTTGTTGAACAATTCACATTACCATCTGATCTGGTTCAGGCTACATGCTTATGGCCACTTAGTGAATTCCTCTGGACTGTAAAGAATTTCGTCAGAGGAATGTAGAGCTGTTTTCCAAAAGAAGCAATTCTGGTGAAGTAATAAGAGGGTCAGAGGATATGCAGCCCACTCTCTGGACAGCTTTCCACATGGCAAGCCTTGCTTATAGGCAATGTGAGGAGGCTCTTCATGGGATAGATGCACCAACTTGGGGTATAAGAGCCCAGAGGGACATACTCAGAGCCTGAGAGCCCAGATTTGAAACCAATCCACATGACTTCCTATGTGACATTTGGAAAATCATGATTTGAGGAGTTGGAGTAAAAGACTCTAAGACCCTTTTTAGCTGTAGTCCAATTATATACTGTGCTGGGGGCCTGAGAGAGATACAAAGATGAATTAGACATTGTTCCTACTCACAAGGGGCTTACAATTGTGGTGCATGTATGTGTGGGTATCAATTTGGACTAGATATAGGATTTTGTGAGCACAGGAAGCTGCTACTAAGGAAAACTACCTCTGCCCACATGGATCAACACCTTCTCTGCAACTTACAGTCCTAGGGAGCTTCTTGAGGCACAGAGAGGTTGAATGACTTGCCCTGGATCACGCACCCAAAGGATGTTAGTGGTAGGACTTGAACCCAGTCCTTCCTGAATCCAAAGCTAACTCATTATCCACTAGGCTACACCATTTTTTTGAGGGTGTATAAACACATGGTGTAGTATGTATATGAAATATGTATATATTTATGTATAAAATGTATGGTTTATCTATGAAAACAATTGCCATATTCTTCACTTTGCTTCTAAAATGCATTTCTCTTTGATTGATGCATAATATAAATACTTAATTGTGTATCTCTAGAGATATACCATATCTATATCTACCTGAATATCATACTGGTTTAATGTTTGAATTCTGTCATTCATGGTGACTTCATGTTTATTCTTGTTGGGATCACTTGTCTTAAATAGGAAATCACTCAAGGGTAGACATATCTCTATCTACACACACCAATTATTTCCACAAGTAGCCATTCTTTTTAAAGAAAGCTATCTGAGGCAGCTAGGTGGTAAAGTGTACCAGCCCTGGATTCAGGAAGACCTGAGTTCAAATCTAGCCTCAGATACTTGACACTTACTAGCTGTGTGACCCTGGGCAAGTCACTTTACCCCATTGACTTTGCCTCCCCCAAAAAAAATCTATCCTTGGTCCATTTAACACAATTTTACTAAGGCTTGTTATGTGTAAGACATTCTAGGGATAGAAGAAGATAACAAGGGGTCTACAGCACAATCTTTGACTTTAAAGAGCTTAGCAAATGCTAAGGGATATAAAATAGTTATCCAAGTGAGTATTCTACAGAGTACAAAATCATAAGTGCTACAAGAAAGATACAAAGTTTCATGAGCATTCAGAGGAAGGACAGATTACTTCTAGCTAGGAGGACTCAGGAAGGCTTTATAAATGGGTTCTGAAGATGATGAAGACAATGATAACAACATCCACTGACTCCATTTGCCAGGCTACTGAAGATGAACTCAAAAGAGCACTAGACGTTAGGGTGCAGTTTCTCCTTATAGTGAGAGAATTTTCTGTGTGCCCAAAGTATCACTCCACCCATTGAACAGTAGCATTTGTTTAAAAGCAAAAAGTTAATAATTCACATTGTGCACCTGCCTTCAGAGCTTCTATGCATTAGCTTTCTGTCTCTGGGAGAAGACAGTCAAAATATAACCTGTATCTGGGTGGTGACTGATCATTTGAATTGGTCTGCACAGATATCCTCAACCAGAAGCCATGGAGCCACTATAGTAATAAAGATGCTATGGAAAAAAATTCCCACTATATGAATTCCTGCTCAGAATCCATTCTGACCAAGGTAGGGATATTGAAAGCTACCTATATAAAGAAATGTTGTGTAGGAAATATTAGCAGGAATCAAGTTGACTCAAGCCATTCCTTACCACCCTTAGGGAGACCCACAGCCTGAATGTTTCAATTGTCTTCCTAGAGAATATATTAGCGGTTTTGAGACCTTCTCAGCAGTTACTATGTGAGGTTTTGAATAAATACATATGACAGCAGGAATGATATTGTAAGCTTTAGTTTATACTTATTGATGTTTCAGTGAAAATTGTATTTGCTCATTGGCTGAACTTTGGAATTTCAGAAGATGTACACTCATAACTAGTGTGGATCTCAGTTGATAAATAGGCTGAAGGAGGTTTAGTGACTAGTTGTCTCCACCCAGAAAAAGGTGTGATAGGCACAAGTAGCAATGTGACACATGAATCTATTGTCAAGATCATTATCCAAGGTATAAAGTTCTGCCAACATATCTTGGACTTCAGGAAATGCACTAGATAGCATACTCAATGAAGAATACCCTCTACCAACTTGAAAAGTTACCATACAAGGGGCAGCTAAGTGACACAGTGGATAGAGCACTAGCCCTGGAGTCAGGAGAACCTGAGTTCAAATCCAGTCTCAGACACTGGACACTTACTAGTTGTGCGACCGTGGGCAAGTCACTTAATCCCATTGCCAAGCCAAAAAAAAGAAAAGTTACTAGACAACTTGCATACGTATAAAATATCTAAAAAGTAATGTGAGGGACGTACAAAAGCAATGAATGAATGAATGAATGAATGAATGAGCAAATGAGTTGAAGCTCTAAAACCACCTATTGCTATTGGGAAATTGGTCAGACTTCCTGAAGAGTAAGCAGACTTTGAGAAAAGTTCACCTACCTGTTACAGAGAGACTACTAGAATTAGATAACAGCTCAAAATATGATGATATTGGAATTGGGTATTGGTACCTTCCAGGGCTTGAGTAAGCTCAACATTCCAACCCTACAAAGACCTCTGGACAGACAAAGGGGAAAGGCTGAATGAACTCAAAGGCAGTTCATGCTCAACCTAACACTCTTTTTTTGTAGAAGCTCCTGGAAAAGAGGGTGTACATAGGAATGTGTACCAGCCAGCTTGAGCGGTCTCCAAGCTCAAGATTGTGATGGTAACTCAGCTAACGTGGAAATTAGGGAATAAAGGGAATAAGTCATTTCACTCTGTCTATACAACTATGATCAGAGGTGGGATTTGAATCCAGGCCTCTCTAATTCGAAGTTGAGCATTCTTTCTCTTAAACTCTGCTTCCTCTGAAATGATATTGAAAACCCTAAAAACTTTATTCTACAACCTATGCAGATTTTGCATATAGTGGCAAGGATGCAATTCTATATCTAGCTCTATATAAATGAGATTCCATCTCTTATGCAATATCAGGACTTTAGGGGCCCCATGTATTGTGTCCAAATTCTTAACATCCTCCTTCTCTTTTATCAGGCAGCTTCTGTGGTTTTGGTATTGTTTGCAAATACTGCTCAATGTTTGAACATCATTCTCTAATTAGCAATGTATTTGTCACTTGGGTAAATAACTTGTTTACTTAGGATAAATTCAAACAAGATTAATTGGAGTTTAAATGGTACAACTTTGAATCCCCTCAGCAAGGATTTCCTTTTTCTAAATTCACCACCAAAACTATATGAACTTTCCTCACTTAGAAGTGAATGTCCTGCCAACAATGAAGCATCCCACTCATGTGATGAAAAAGGGGCAATGGGTAGAGGTGTAAAATGAGACATTCGTTTTGGATGTAGTTAAATTGAGGATTTGTTTTTGCTTAATTGTGTATATTTGGGGGGGGACAGATAGGTGATTCTAGGTCTAGAGTCAAGAAGACTCTCCTCTGTGAGTTCACATCTAGCCTCAGATGTTTACTAGCTATGTGACCCTGGGCAAGTCACTTAACCCTGTTTGCCTCAGTTCCTCATCTGTAAGAGGAGCTGGAGAAGGAAATGGAATTTTCTTTGCCAAGAAAACCTCAAATGGTATTATGAAGAGTCAGACATGACTGAAGAAAAAAAATACAACGTATATTTGTTGCTAGGACTTGACTTTTATTTTATTTTTGCAATGGGGAGAGGGTCTAAGAAAGTAAACAGAAACGCTTTTAATTAAAAAGAGAAAAAGAAAAAAGCAATTGAATGGCCTACTCAGAAAATAAAAGGAGGGTGGATAACATCAAGTAAAATATCCACAGAGATGATCAATCACAGGTGAAGCTTTTGCCAACAGGTCTTCTAGGGAAGCTCTTTCCATCCACATTTCTTCCATGGATTCTGATTGGAAGTCTAAGGACTTGGATGTGAATTCTTTCCTTGCTACTTAATGTCTATGGGATCTTGAGCAAGGTGTGTAAGCTCTCAGGACCTTGTTTCCTCATCTGTGAAATGAAGTGGTTACATTAAATAGCAGGAAAATATGGGAAGAACTGTGTAATGCTTTAAGATATTTAACACACTTTTCTTTCAACAACATTGTATCACAATCTTAATTTCTGCATGTGGGAAAACTGAGGTACAAGGAGGTAAAGTGATTTACCTATAGTGAGCACAGGCATCTAGAGTCAAACGTAGGTCCCCTGATTCCAAATCTAGTGTTATTTCTACTGTATCAGAGTCCTTATTACACAATGGAAAAAACACTGGTTCAGAAGTCAAAGGGCTTGTATTAAAATCCTATTTCTGACATTTACTACCTGTTTAACCTCAGGCAAGTCAATTAACCTCCATAGGCCTCAGTTTCCTCATATGAAAAAATGAAGGGTTGGATTACTTGACCTTTAGTTCCCTTCTGGCTATCAATTTATGATCCTGCTACTTTTCTCAGAATAGCTTAAATAGACACCAACATATATGTGTAACATTCAACACACATATGTGTATAACATATATTCCTTCACAAAACATTTTACACGTATCATCTCTTCTCCCTTGCAACAATTTCATGAGGCAGGTAGTAGAGACATTCTTAACCCCATTTTACAGATGAGTTATAAGTCTCTTCTTAGAGCCTTTAGGATCAAGTACTGTGACCCTATGACATTTCAACATGAAATCACAGAAGTTTGTTTAGCTTCAATCTCCAACAAACCACAAAAGTTGACTTTTGGGGGAAATCAGACCAGTTCCTAAATGGTCCTTTCCCAGCCCTTCTCTTCTTTTGCCTCTCTTCCCTTCCCTTTCCTTCTCTTGCAGGGTATACCTATTTCTCCAACAACATCCATAACAAAATTGCTACCATTAGGCTACAGTCGACAGACCATGATGGAGAGTACTCTGTGAACGTACACATTTTTATAATGGAAACCTTAATTAAGAGAATACTCTCTGGGTTTACCAACATTAAATTAATCAAATTGATTAAATTCCTTCTGCTTTGCAGATGATAGCACCTAACTGAAGTAAGACCTATACTGTTCCAAAATTATGCCCCATTTCTAGTCACATTTCCACTAATATCTTAGTTTTATTCCAGGTCATGTGAATCAATTCAAATTAGCCAACTCACATGCAATCCATTTTTCTTCTTTCTTTGTGTCTCATGGTCCAGACTTTGGAATAGAGTTAGAACACTGGAAGCAGCGTGGTATATGGGAAAAACCATCTGATCTGAAACCAAATGGTTTACATCCAAATCTTTTCTTTACTGATTGTTCCATATTGGTAAGATCACTTAACTTCTCTAAGCCCCAATTTCTTTGGAAAATAATAACTTTTGCACCATCTATCTTACAGACTTATTTGGAGGAAAATACTTTGCCAAATTATAAAATGCTAAAGAAATGGGGGCTATTTGTATAGATCTTTGGGATTTAGTGCCATGACCCTTCAGAATCAATATACTACCCTAGCTTTACTTTAAGATGAAAACAAGAAAATAATAAAAACTATTCCTGCCAATGTTAAATAAGAAGGGGCAAGGATAGAGAAATATGATATTCTTAATGGAATGTAAGCTCCTTGAAGGTAAAGGCTCTTTTGCTTTTTTTGCACAGTGTCTCCAGCACTTAGTTTATGTTTGACATACAGTTGGTACTTAATAGATTATCATTGATCGTTTGGCTGAAATTAGAATGATTTTATAGCAAAATACTATAATCCCCCAGCATAATGATGCCCTGCAGGGGATTGGGAGGGAGAAGAGTGGTACAGGAGAGAGCAAATAATTAAGTGTAACCACCAGGGAGAGAAGATCATAGATTTAGAGATCTGCTATGCCATCTGTATTTATAGACAAATCCATTGAGTGTCTGAGAAAGGCAGTGAGTTGCTTTATATCACAAAACATCCAAATCCAGTTTTCCTACCACCAGCCCCTGCTGATTTGGCTGCCAACATAAATGTATTGGAAGTTAGTGGAGTGGAGTAGATAGTAAGTCAGCCCCAGAATCAGGAAGACTTTGATCCACATTTGCTTCTGACATATGTAAGCTATATGATCCAGGGCAAATCTTCAGTGACCCTGCAATTTTCTCAGTCTATAAACTGCAGAACAGTTGATAATCTGCATTGGTAAGGAAAGTTTCCTCAGCAAGAGCTGTCTACAGGTCACCTAACCTCTCTCTTCCTCAGTTTTCTTATCTATTAAATGGGAATAATAACAGCACCTACCTCCCAAGGTTCTTGTAAGGATAAAATGATATAATATTTGTAAAGTGCTTTGAAAACTTTAAAGTGCTATACGAATGCTAGCTATCATATGTCATCATCATCATCATCATCATCATCATCATCATCATCATCATCATTATTCCTATTGGAAGAAGTAGCAATCTATAGTACAGTAATTTCTAAAGCTACATATGCATGTCACTTGGAATGTGCAAGGTTATCTTTGGGGAAAGGCAAGCAAATATTAGAATTTCTATTTACTTTTACCTAAAAAATAAGAAAGAAATTAAGTATTACTAATATTTAATAAACAGATTTACAATAGGACCCTCACTCAGTTCATATGTCATACAGTCATCTCTCATGTAGTCTACTCAAGGTATCTTTCGAGAAGATTGGGATTTCTAGAATAAAAATTATTTCTGAGCTCTCTCACACATACAATTGACATATATACAGTTAAGTGCCTTTATGGGTTATATTAGAAAGTGGCAAGATTGGGGCAGCTAGGTGGCACAGTGGATAGAGCACCGGATCTGAATTCAGGAGGACCTGAGTTCAAATCTAGCCTCAGACACTGGACACTTACCATGACCCTAGACAAGTCACTTAACCCCATTGCCTAATTTAAAAAAAAAGAAAGTGGAAAGATTTCCACTTCTATTGCTAGTATGAACTTTCCATCAGCAACACTACAAGTTGAAAACAGATATGAGAAGTTGGACCTTCCCAAAAATAAAAGCTGCCAAAAATACTTTTTGAAATATGAACTCCTTCATTGTGTTTAGTCATTCAGTCATGTCCAGCTTTTCATAACTCCATGATCCATACTGTCCACAGGGTTTTCTTGGCAAAGATGCCCTTTCCTTCTCCAGTACCTTAAAGCAAACAGAGGTTAAGTGACACTCAGGATCACATAGCTGTTAAGTGTCTGAGGTTAGATTTGAACTCACGTCTTCCTGACTCTAGTCCCTGTACTCTATCCACTGAGCACCTAGCTGCCTCTTATGAATGTCCTTACATTTTTTATAATGATGCACCATAGTATGCTATGTCTTGAGATGTTATCAAAATGCTTAGAAACAAAGTATTTGTTGTGGGAAAACAAAATGTGGCATCAATAAACTCTCTTATCTTATAGTTTTAAAAGTTGGAAATGGAATTTTCTAACCCCCGTTTAAAAATCTCCCCAAAAGTGTTTTTAACCCTCTTAATGCACATAGCACAACACCTTTTGGGGATCTTGCCAGAATAACTGATTGACATAGAGAAGATATAAATTTGCTGGCTTAATGTCAACATAATTGGTGGATGGGATTGAAAAAAGAACGTCATTACTTAGCAAGCTGAACTATTTAGATCTACTTATCTATGCATCTTTTCCATCTATAACAGCCATTAAAATAAAGTATTAAAATAAATCCAACTTAGAACTAGACAAAGTATTCTTCAAAAACAGGCCAAGATGTTTGAAAAGCACGTAGCATATTCAATCACATCCCTTTTTATTACTTATAATAATAATCTGTTTAGAGTAAGAAAGCTCTTTGTGCCATTAATTGCATTTAATTTAAAATCACTTACAACATTGGGATGGTTGCTTTTATTTCCTTCATATGTGTGTGTTTTATTACATAAACAATATATTAATACCATATCTCATGTATATCATTGATAAATAAATATACAGGGGCAGCTAAGTGGCAAGTCCCTGTGCAAGTCACTTAATCCTGATTGCCAAGACAGAAAAGAAAGAAGGAAAGAAAGAGAAAGAAAGGAAAGAAAGGAAAGAAAAAAGAAAATGAAAAATATATGCATACGGTGGGTTGCATGACCAAAAGTTTTTATTTTCAGGGCTTTTATTTTGTTTGTTTGTTTGTTTTTACTGCTAAGGATGCTTGATGAAAAATAAATTTAGAAAACGCTGCTATAGGTAGAATCAGTAAAAGTCTCAGCTTAAATCCTGACTCAAGCACTTAATAACTGTGACTGAGCAATGCATTTAACCTCTCTCAGCCTCAGTTTCCATGTTTATAAAATAAAGATAATAACCAAACCTATCTCACAGGACTATTGTAGGGATTAAGAGAGATAATATATGTAAAGCATTTTGCAAACCTTAAAGTGTTCTATAAATGAAAGCTATTATCATTAAATACATGAAACTGTTCCAAATCTATATTAATAATAACTGAGTGAGTCATTGCTATAGTGAAGCATTTTATAATAGGATTTGTAATGCATACAGAAACTGAAAATATTGTTCTTTTCTATCCTCAAAATTTTAAATGTTATACTTCTTAGAATGAGTCTTTAACCAAATCATATTCCCCTTTTCACAGATCCACATCCTATCACCTCTACTTAAGAAAGCATGCAGTCTTCCCATCCCTTTCTTCTATCCTGAATTCCCTTCCCCATTTCTGCTGATTATATAAATGTGAGACCGCAAACAGAAAGTTGCTCCAGCTGACTTACTTGTGATGCTGTTAGAGACATTCTAATCCATTTCCTGAGGATGAATTGGGTTGTCACCATCAAGGGAGGGTGGCAGAACTGGGAGCACAGAGGAGGAAGAGGAGGAAGCTGATTAGAAAAGAAACACTTGGGAGATCCATGAGTCAAGCAGAGAATGATCTTGATGAGATCAGACAGTTGGGAAGTATTTCAAATCATCTTTGGAGAAAAAAGCACAAATACAGGTGCTAGCTCAAGTTGAAGAGGAAGGAGCACAGGAAAAGGGGAAGCAGCATTAAAGGTTTGGGCAGGGCCCAAGAAATAGGGATATTTTGGGTAAAAGGGTTACAATTCTGAGTCAATAACTATTGACCCATTAGTCACCAAGGACCTTTTTATAGTACAAGAAATATATCTCAAAAAGGTATGCAGACAATTATTCCTATAAGGGATATTTTAAATCAATAAATCAGTAAACATTGATTAAGCATCTTTTACATGAGAGGTACCGTGCTAAGCACCAGGGACACAGACAATGGTGAAAGAGTCTCTGCCCTTAGAGAGATAATATTCTAATGCAGGAAACAACAGACACAAATATAGGTATATTAAATATGGCATTCCTGAAGTCTTAAGCTATTAAAGCAGATAGAAACATACCAAAGGTCATTTCATGGAAAATGCACAGCTGACCTTTCATACTTCTGCCTTATCATGTTTTCCTCAGAATTTGGACTACCTGAAGATGATGCACTCCATGACTGCCGATTCATGTAAGTAGGGAAAGGGAAGACTCCTGGAGAACCAGCAGGTAGCTGATATCCAAAGTCCCCGTGAATGTGAAAGGGGCTTGTGGTAATTTTATGCTGCTTTCATTCTGACAAAGTGGCTCAATTCCTTTGTCAGGGGGTTCTGAGCTTCTCCTGGGCTTCCTCCTTTAATATGACTAGGACGCCATTTTGATCCTTGCACAAGGAAATATTCAAAACTAGTAGCTTGTAAAGAGCATGCTTCAATGGCTTTTAGAGATATTGCAGCAACTGTTGATATGGGTAAATCAAATGTGTCAGGGATCATTCAAGTACACAATGATACAAGATCAATTACACCAAAGTCAAAGCAAGTGGGATCAAAAAAAAAAAAAGTCCAAGAAATGACAAACTATTGCTACTACAAAGCATAATTAACTCTCAGAAAACAAGCAAAAATATTCAGAGGGACACTGAGGCTGTAGAGGTTGTTACTGATTCCTCTACAGTGTGGTGAAGGCTTCAAAATAGGAAGGACAGCAAGAAGTTAAAGAATAAATACTAACCACTATGGGAGGGTAAAAAGTTTGCTATGGTCAAAACAATACAAAAACTGGCATATAGAAGGTTGGAAAAAGATTGTTTTTACTAGCAAAACTCACTTTTTTCAATTCAAGGCTATGCCCACACTGTTGTTTAGAAGTTCAGGCAAGCCTTTAAGATGTGGGTTTCTTTACCAGGCTATGAAACACCCAACTCCAGAAAAAATAATTTGGGGATTTTTTTTAAAATTTCAAGTAGATGTCTTAAACCCATTAAGGGAATGATGATGTCTTCTACATATAATTATATACAAAGAAAGATAATTTTTCTGGAATCTCAGAGATTTCCAAATGGAAACAATATTGAAAAATGTCTTTACACTATGCCACAAGTCACAAAAGGTTAACAAGTTTATTGAAGAGATGCAGACAAACATGTTTCAATGGCCTGGGAACTCACTTGATTTAAATCCCATGTAAAACGTATAAATTATAGTCAAAGCTAAACATTGAAAGAGGCCTTCGTAACAAGGGAACACTTAATAAGTAATGTGACAAAAGTATAGCTCATAATTAATGTGTCAAACTCTTATGAAACTAATGCCAAATCATGAAAAACCAATTTTTCAGCAAAATAGGCCATGTTGTTTACTAAAAGTATTTTTAAAAGATATAAAAAGTTGTTTGTAGTAGTAGTATAATAGCAGCAGCAGCCATAACAGTAGTAGTAATATTAGTAGTGTAGAGGTAGTAGTAGTAGCAGTAGTAGCAGTGGTGGTGGTGGTAGTGTGGTAGTGGTAGTAGTGGTAGTAGTAGTAGTAGTAGAAGTAATCTAAATGGCCACTGGCAATGTGGCTTTCTTCAGCTATTTCAAAAGACCATAGGTTTCCTGGAGATGATGTCACTTGCTACAAGGAAGATCAATTTCAAAATCTCTCTCATACTTCTTTGCTGTATGACCATGGACAAATCACTCAACCTTCCTGAGCCTCAGTTAACTCATCTGTAAAACTGAGATAATAATAACACCTTCCTCACACGGTTATTTTAAGGATGAAAGGAGATTAAAGTATAAAAGACATTTTGTGAACCATATAGAACTATATTTAATATATATGACATTGTTGTTATTTTATTATTATTAACACTCAAAGCTAAACAATAAATAAGGGACATGATCAATTCAGAATCAGAATCAATGTTACAAAGAACCTCACCAAGCCATAACTGAAAATTATAGCATACCCAACTAGTGACCATTCAGCCTCTTCTTAAAGACCTTCAAAAAGTGAAAAAAAAAAATTTCTAGAGACAGTCCATTCTACTTTTAGATCATCATTAAGACTAATTTTTTTTTCTTAACAATAACACTAGGGGGCAGAGCCAAGATGGCAGAGTGAAAGCAGTGACTTGCTTGAGCTCTCCTCCAAACCCCTCCAAATACTCATAAAAAATGGCTCTAAACAAATTCTGAAGCAGCAGAACCCACAAAAAGACAGAGTGAAACAAATTTCCAGCCCAAGACAACCTAGATGATCAATCAGTAAGGTGTATCGCGCTGGGCTGGGAGCACAGCACAGCACGGCGTGGGCGCGCAGGCCACAGTGAATGTAGAACAGGCCTCAGAGGACTGAATCTCGGGCAGCTGTGGAGGTTTCCAGACTCCTCAATCCACGAATGCCAAAGACAACTTAGAAGGTCAGTGGGAAAAGTCTGTTTCTGTCAGTGCTGAGACAGGAAGATGGGGTTTCAGCTCCATTCCCCAAGAGCATGGCCCTGGGGGCAGCAGCTGCTTCCCCAGCTTCTGGCCCACAGACTGAGGGGGAATCCAGTGGCTGATCAGAGAGGGACTGCAGGGATCTCTTTGCCAGTGCCGAGGCAGGAATCTTTTGCTTTGCCCCTATTTGGATCTGGGTCACAGTTCTGGGCAGTGGTGCTGGGGTGAGGACGAATGCTGGCGTGGTAGAGCTTGGAGTGGCTGTGGAGAGGAACCCCTCCTCACAGTTACAGGACAGAAAGGAATACTTGTGGTCACAGGCCAGGAAAGGAGTAAACACCTCATCCCTTATCATACCACCTTGCAAGAACTGAAAATTTACAAGTCCCTACAAGTATCTCTGAAAACAGCTACACAAACCCCTGAAGCTTGGGACAGTACATTCTCCACACTGGAAGCAGACTCTTACCTTAACAAAGAGTTTAAAACTCAAGTAATTGGCTGGGATCATGAGCAAGCAGCGCAAAAAGAGTCAGACCATAGAATCTTACTTTACTGAAAAAGATCAAAATACACAACCAGAAGAAGACAACAAAGTCAAAGCTCCTACATCCAAAGCCTCCAAGAAAAATATGAATCAGTCCCAGGCCTTGGAAGAGCTCAAAAGGGATTTGGAGAAGCAAGTAAGAGAAGTAGAGGAAAAACTGGGAAGAGAAATGAAAGTGATGCAAGAAAATCATGAAAAACAAGTCAACAGCTTGCTAAAGGAGACCCAAAAAAATACTGAAGAAAATAACACCTTAAAAAATAGCCTAACCCAAATGGCAAAAGAGGTTCAAAAAGCAAATGAGAAGAAGAATGCCCTAAAAAGAAAAATTGGCCAAATGGAAAAGGAAGTCCAAAAGCTTACTGAAGAAAATACTTCCTTAAAAACTAGAATAGAGCAATTGGACTAGTGACTTTATGAGAAATCAAGACATGTAACAAATCCAAAAGAATGAAAAATTAGAAAACAATGTGAAATATCTCATTGGAAAAACAACTGACCTGGAAAATAGATCCAGGAGAGTTTAAAAATTATTGGACTATCTGAAAGCCATGATCAAAAAAAAGCCTAGACATCATCTTTCAAGAAATTATCAAGGAAAACTGCCCTGATATATAGAACCAGAGGGCAAAATAGAAATTGAAAGAATCCACAGATCTCCTCCTGAAAGAGATCCCCAAAGGAAAACTCCTAGGAATATTAGCCAAATTCCAGAGTTCCCAGGTCAAGGAGAAAATATTACAAGCTGCCAGAAGGAAACAGTTCAAGTACTGTGGAAACACAATCAGGATAACACAAGATTTAGCAGCTTCTACATTAAAGGACCACAGGGCATGGAATATAATATTCCAGAGGGCAAAGGAGATAGGATTACAACCAAGAATCACCTACCCAGCAAAACTGAGTATAATCCTTCAGGGGAAAAAATGGTCATTCAGTGAAATAGAGGACTTTCAAGTATTCTTGATGAGAAGACCAGAGCTGAATAGAAAATCTGACTTTCAAATACAGGACTCAAGTGGAACATGAAGAGGTAAACAGGAAAGAGAAATCATAAGAGACTTATTAAGATTGAACTGTTTACATTCCTGCATGGAAAGATGATATTTATAACTCATGAGATCTTTGTCAGTATTAGGGTAGTTGGAGGAAAAAAATTATATGTATGTATAGATAGATAGATAGATAGAGGGCACAGGGTGAGTTGAAGATTAAGGGGTCATATCTGGAGAATAAAATTAAGGGATGAGAGAGGATTATACTCGAAGAAGAAGAAAGGGAGAGGTAGAATGGGGTAAATTATCTCACAAAGAAAAAACAGAAAAGAAAAGTCTCTTACAGTGGAGGGAAATGGGGGAAGCTGAGAGAGAATGAGTGAATCTTATTCTCATAGGATTTGGCTTAAGGAGGGAATAACATACACATTCAATTGGGTATGGAAATCTGTCTTACCCTACAGGAAAATAGGGGGAGAAGGGGAAGAGAGCAGGGGGATGATAGAGAGGAGGGCAGACTGGGAAAGGGGTAATCAGAAGTAAATACTTCTGAGGAGGGACAGGGTCAAAAGAAAGAATAGAATAAATGGGAGGGCAGGATA